AATTAGCAAGCCAGCTTGTAACGACAACCACTGGAAAACAAGCAGAAACTAGCATTTTGGAAAATGCAAATTAAAGACTCCTATTCAGATGATAGCCAAATTATTAAGCTACCTCCTGGTTTCATCTGTGTAACACACCAACATGCAGTTATTACAGACATAGTGCAATCTGAACTACTTCTTAATAGCAACTGTATCTTACACACACTTCCTGCCTGATAAGGAGAAAACAAATTAGAACTGCTGAGGACTAAAGGCAAAAGACAAAGCTATGATTTATTTTCCAACATTCAGAACTTCCATCCTTGTATTGCAACTCCATGCTCCATTTCCTTTTTAGTTAATATTAAATCATTCAGTTCTATTTAAAAATAAGAAACAATCCACAAACAAAAAAACAACAACAACAACAAAAAAAAAACAAACAAAAAACACACCCAAAACTTTTGAATTCTTCCCATAAAAAAAAAATCACATCGATCTATTATAAAATACTCATCACCTATTAATTGACTTTATGTCATCTGTGATTGTACAGCCTATCTACCCCTCAGCCAGCTCCCTTTCTAAGCAGTAGAGTCTTATTCCAATTTCTATGAAGCCATGGAACAATTCCTTCAGATTGCTTTGTACCTCTCAAAATTCCACTGAAAAAGAGTATACCTATAAAAAAAAAAAATTCAAGCAACGGATGCACCAAGAGTTCACATAGATTTTTATTTTCTCTGCACTTAGAAAGTTAAAAGTGTTTAAATTCACTCTGCCCATTTGGCTGCTGGGGAACTGACATTTCTAGTAAAGATCTTACAGACAGCTCTAAGACCTCAGGCTTGAGTAACAGCCTTTCCCTGTGTATTTATCTTAACAGTTATCTTAATGGCTTTTCAGGTAGGCACTGCTCTGCATTTATTGACAAGGAATGCATTTTACCATCTTACTGCATACTTCCTCAATACCACAAAATCCACAGCTTTAGGATGAAACTATCACCTCACTAATCACTCCTCCAGAGTGCATTAGGAACACACTGATTGGAAGTTTCACAGAACACCTTTCCATAACCACCTCCTACTACAAAAGCAGACAGATTTTCTGTCATTGTCTGGACACTTTTCTTTCTTCCTTGGCTAGTTATTAACTCGCAATAAGAACTCTCTTGAAAAAACTGTGCTGTAAAAACCTTTGGTTAGAGGCTCTGTCAAGATTTCTGAAAAATCCAAGTGTTTTATAATCTAGACAACCTGTATCCATTTCCTAGGAACTTGTCAAGAACCATGCAGTTCCTGGGTCCTCTCCTGGAGTCCTTTAAAAAAAAGAATAAAATAATAAAAAAACAAAAAATGCATCACACAAACTACCACTTATTGTAAATAAAGCATTCATTAAGATAGCTACATACCAGATTTACAAGTTGAACAGTTTTGCATTCCTTCAGAGATATTGTGAACTTCACTTCCTATTGGCAATTTATTACTAATTTTACCTATTTGTTCCAAGAGTTGTTCTTGTGACATTACAGTTTGAGAGTATTTATCAGATTGCAACATGAGTTTTTCCATATAAAGCACTGATGTAAATAAAGTGGATATTTATTTTTGCTACGAATTTGTTTTCTTCACACACTGGTTATCAGTCATACTTCTAGCATATGTCTCTGCTATGTATCATATTTTTATACTGGGCAACAAAATAGAATCCTATCCAGGCACATGGTATTTAAGTGTCACTAGAACACTAAAAAAATACAGAAAAATGCATCTCATCCATGCTCAGGTACATGAACACCAGTTGAGAAGAATAAGGACAAGAAAGTAGATCAAGAAGCTTGCTTAGGAACACAAACACCCCACCCCCAAGAACTTCAAACAAACATTAAGTAGTTCTTCCTTTTTACTGGATCTCTCAGACACTTTGTCACATCTGAAAGGCAGTCAGACACAGCTTCCACATAACCACCAGGAAATCAGTTCTCAGAATACCTCATGGTCTCAGTTCCCACCTATACAGCACAGATAATACCAGCCTCTCTGGGATTCTGCAGGCATAAAAGCTTAGATGACCTGCTACTGCAGCAACTATCCCAAGCAGCAGCCTGGTGAAACAAATACAGTCAGCTTTGCTACACCCCACAGAATGGCTTCCTACTACAGGTATCTGCAGAACACATATACCTGGAAGGGCCACTGGTTGCCAACAAAAACTTTAATTGTAGCTCTTAGCTCTCTGACTACATCAGGTGGCAAGCATCAAGATGGTATTGAGACAGGGTTACTGAGAAAATCACAGAACTGGGGGAGACCAAGCCAGCAGGGACTACTCGGGCAGAAACTACTACTTCGATAAAAATACAGCTAAATATGCAGCTCAGGCATCTGAATGAACAACAGATTACTGATGAGAGTGAAAACAAAAACAATACAAAAGAATTACAAAAGCAAACCATAAATAGGATTAAACAATTCAGAGCTCAGAAGACTTAAAACACTTTATATAGTCAAAATTAGATGATCACTTGTCTTAAAATGGGACAGAATTTTGAAATTCACACTCTGAACCATGCGAAACCTTAACAAAAATCAGCTTCAGGTGAAAACCACAAAGCTATCAGACAGCAAACTGCCATGAAGAATTAAAATTTACAGACTTTCTATATTATAGAAATGCATTTTACTGCACAAGATGATGAACAGAAAGGTAACAACCATATCGTCTAGTAATAGCAGACCTGAAGTTTAACTTTAGCTGGCTAAATGCTGCTTAGTAGCAGCAATCCTTCAAAGTAGCAAGCCTTGATCTTCACAACTAGTGAATATTTTTCCCCCCAATACAGGCAAATGTTTTTATTCTCTGCATATTAACATAAATTACAAGGCAATTTTTCAAAGTAGTTACCAATTTCCTTATTTTATTTCCAGCAGCAGTTTCACTCTGCCATTTCTTTGCTAACAACAAGCTCTAGATATCAGGGATGATCCCTGTACACCAGTTAATACCTACAGTATTAGGTAGGACTGAATCAAGAGTTCTTCCACCTAAAACACAGTCTCACAGAAGAAGTGATGGCCCAATTTTTCCAGTTTCAGTCAGAACCCAAGAGTATTCAGGAAGCAAACCACCATGCTGTTCAGAAGTGGAGAGGACAAGAACCAGGTTAGTGACAGAGGATATTGCACTGTTCTTCTCTAAAGACCTATGGGTCGAGCAGATCCTATTAGCCTGTCAAATTAATCAGTCCTACCTCTCTCCTCTCTTGGCTTCCTAGTGCTGCAGCCCCATTGTCATGGTTTAAGCCCATCCAGTAATACAGTCAGCCACCAGCTCACCCCCCCCCTTCTTCCTCCCCCTGCTCCCAGAAGGATGGGGACAGCACTGAACCAGCTACTAAGAAGAAGAAAAAAATAAAAGACTGTTACAGCTGAATCCAGGACACTAACAAAAGCAGTCAGTGAGAAAAGACAAGCACTTCTAATGAGGTTCCCATTCCTGCGAGCAATAAGTGTACATCAAACTCCTGTTGAACTGGCTTCAAAAGATGCACTGAGCTTGCAACTGTTAAAAACATTAACCTCAACTTGTACCAGAGAAAAAAAAATATTTCCCTTTCTTTAGAAGCTAAAAAATTGTCCTGGGTTCAACAGTAGCAGTCATTTTTCTCCTTCTTAGTAGCTAGTGCAGCACTGTGTTTTTTACTTTCAGCCTGGGAACAGCACTAATAACACCAAAGTTTTTAGTTACTGCTCAAATGTTTAGTCTGACCAAGGACTTGCTGAGCCTCATGCTCTGCCAGGAGGAGGGGAAGCCAGAAGGAAGCAGAGACAGGACAGCTGACCCAAGCTAGCCAAAGAGGTATTCCATACCACAGCATGTCATGCCCAGTATATAAACTGGGGGAAGTTACCTGGAAGAGCTAGATCACTGCTCCGATCGGGCTGGGTATCAGTCGGCAGGTGGTGAGCAGTTGTATTCTCTTCCCATGTTATTTCCCTTGTCATTATTATTATTGGTGGTAGCAGTAGTGGTTTGTGTTATACCTTAGTTACTGGACTGTTCTTATCTCAACCTGTGGGAGTTACATTCTTTCGATTCTCATCCCCATCCCTCCGGGAGCAGGGGAGGAGCCGGGGGGAGGGGGGGAGTGAGCAAGCGGCTACATGATTCTGAGTTACCAACTGGGCTTAAACCACAACACCTTTGTATTTCTCACCTGCTTCCAGTTTCCTAACTATTTTGGATCTGTAAGGGAATCTGGGTATTTTACTTCCTGTTCACTTTCCTGCACAGCTAAAATAAAACAAACAAACAAAAACCCAACAAAAACCTACAACAAAACAACACAAAAGAGGAACTATTACTTTGTAACCAAACCCACCCACTTTTCTTTACACCTTTGTTAATGCCAGATAGCAGATGAGATGCCACATTTTTTATGTTTATTAAAAGAAACTTAACAATACACAAGCACAAGCCACTGCTCGGACGCCCGGGGCCTCCTGTACCACACTGCAATCCGCACCACAGGGCTCCGCGATCTACGCCTTCAGCTGCCAGGAGCGCTGCGGAAGGTCGCCCAACTCTCACCACAAGGACGAGAGAATCCGCCATCAGCGCCGCTCCAGCGGGTAACAGCCGAGTCTCCACCGCGCCCCAGGAAACCACCACCCGGTCCAGAGCCCGGAGCAGAGACCGAGCGGGCCCGAACACCGGGCGGGGGACACAGGCCGCGGCCGAGAACTGAGCGCGGACAGACCCCAGGAAGCCGCACCAGCAGAGACGACGGAAGGGCACCGAGAAACCTCCGCTGCAGCAAAGCCCGCGGCACGGTCGCGGAGGCCCGGCGGCTGGCAGAGGCAGCCGACGGCACACGGGGGACCCAGGGTGGTCGAGACCTCGCAGGCCATTGCAGCGAAGACCCAACGTGGTCGGCAGCGAGAAAGAATCAGGAAAGCAGCGAGCACCCGGCGTGGGGCGATCTATAACGACGAAGCCACGACCCCACTCACCGGACTGGTCCCTGAAGGGGAGAAAGCGGCGGCAGCCGGAGCCAGGCATTCAAAATGGCAGCTGCGCTGCCGTAGCACCAATACCGCAGGCGGAAGGATCCGCTCCCCGGCCCGCTCCCCTCGGCCTCCCAGCCCTTGCCAGCCACAGAGGCGAGGCGCGACGGCGACAACCTCAGCGGGGACAGTGCGGACCGGGCGTGTCAGGGAGGGGCGCGGCAAAAGCCGCTCGCACTACTTTTCTTCGTGGAAGCAGCCGCGATCCCAGTCCTACGAATGGTAATATGTCTGCACCTTTGCAGTCAGCAATGATGTCACGCGCGGGGCGGCCTTTCCCGTAGCGACTCCCGTAGCAGGGCCGGGTGGAACGTGTCGTTCGCAACCACGGTTCCAGGGTCTCGCTGCCAGCGCCGCTTCTGCCGAGCGGTCACTGCGGCTGCAAGCACAGCGACGCACTCTGCTGACGCCAGAGGGTCCGTCCGGCGCCTTCCCTGCGGCTGGTGTTGGAAGCGGCCGTGAGGCGGGACCGGCGGCAGCGCCTGAGCGGCGGAGGGTGCACGGGCCTAGGAGGAGGATCGAGAGCAGCGGCTGCACAGCCGGTCCCCGCCCCGCGCGGCTTTTCTCTGCACTTCCCGGACCTTTCGTCACCTCGAACATCAGCGAGTGCCTGGACCTTATCCGCAGGGCCTGCTCACATTCTAGACGAGGCCGCCGATGCCCCGCAGCAGGGAGCAGGTCCCGCCCTGAACCCTGGGGAGCAGTGCCACCGGGTGTGGCTGCTTGCCATGGCAACCGGCGAGGGTGTCCTCGATCGATGGGTGAGGCATTTTCTCTGCGCGGGGTGGTACGTCGCGTTATCGCTGTGTGTCGCGGCGAGGGGTTGGGCTGGGCTAGGCTGTAGGTGGCCGCGGGCACTGCTGGGGCTGATGCGGGCCGCGGAGGAGGAGCTGGCTGATGGCGGGTGAGGCGCGAGCTGGGGCGCCTCTGCGATGCCGCGGGCTCGGCTCGGTGGGGCGGGCCGCGGCCTGGGTTCCAGGTCCTGTGACTGGACTCGGGCGCCCTCCTTCTCTGGGATCCTGGACTAGACCTGGGGGCCGTCGCCCTGCTCCTTGGCAGGGCTGGGGCTTGGGTCTCCTGCTGCTTTCTGGGGCCCTGGGTAGCTGGGCCGGAATTACAGTATCACAGTATCACAGTATGTTAGAGATTGGAAGGAACCTCAAAAGATCATCTAGTCCAATCCCCCTGCCAGAGCAGGAACACCTAGATAAGGTTACACAGGAACGTGTCCAGGCGGGTTTTGAATGTCTCCAGAGAAGGAGACTCCACAACCTCCCTGGGCAGCCTGTTCCAGTGTTCCATCACCCTCACTGAGAAGAAGTTTCTTCTCAGGTTTAAGTGGAACCTCTTGTGTTCCAGTTTGTACCCATTGTCCCTTGTCCTATCATTGCTTGCCACTGAGAAGATCCTGGCTCCATCCTCGTGACACTCCCCCTTTATATATTTATATACACTAATAAGGATTCATAGTTCCCTCTGTTCCTGGCGCAGGTGAGGTGGCGGCCGGCGGCCGAGATCCGGGAGCCAGCGTGTGGCAGCCCCTGCGGGTGCCCTCATGAACGAGAGTCAAGGCTGGAGCTGCCAGGACACCGCGGGGCACCATGAGAGCAGGCCACGAGCGGAGCCAGGAGCGTCTCCCGCCAAAGAAGCGGGATCTTCCCGCTGCCAGTGCCGGCACTGAGGTGGGACGGGCAGGGACTGTCCAGGCCACGGGCGAGGGCACCGAGTGGGCCCAGACAGCCCTGTGCTATGGCCCGGGTGAGGCCGTGGCAGGGCTGTCAGTGGACCAGTATGGGATGCTGTACAAAGTGGCAGCGCCACCTGCCACCTTCTCCCCCCCAGATCTGCACCCCATGGTGAACGTGACTCCCCTGTCCCCTGCCTTCAGTGTGACTTCACCAATAATCCAGCACTCGGGGGTGCCCTACCCTCCCGTTCACTATGGACAGATAACCCCAACATCCCTACAGTTCATTGGCTTGCATTACACAGTGCCCTGTTCTGTCCTTCCTGGCTTCCTGCCTAGTCCTCTCCTGTCTTCTTCCACCAACCTCACTGCCTCTCATGTCCCTCACTTTGTGCCATACGCCTCTCTCTTCATGGAAGAAACCACTCCTTCCCCCCAGACTACCTCTCCTACCCACACCTTCAGCAAATTCACTTCTGCAGTTTCTCCTGGTCAGATGCAGCACCATGCTGGGACCCAGCTGTTAGGTACTGCACCAAGTAGAATTCCTGTTTATTATCAGATGTCCCGCCTCCCACCAGGGTATTCAGCACATGAGACACCTACAGCAGGCAGAAGCCCAGAGTCTCCTCAGAAAGACAGTCAGCTGAATTCAGAGGTAGCTGCTGCAAGTGGTGGACAGAGACATCCAGAGCGTAATGTTTTGAGAAGGACCAGCGAGGCTGTGGATTCTGCCAGCAGTAAAGCTGAAGACTGTCTGCCAGGAGCTGCAGCAGGATGTGTGGTTGATGGACAGTTCCTTTCAGGTTACCAGACCTTGGGAACAGAGGTCTCTGTGCCAGCTCACAGAAGCACCCCAGACACTGATCTGGAGGTTCAGAGGGTGGTGGGGGTGTTGGCATCTCAAGATTATCATGTTCTGGCAGCCCAGAGGAAAGATGACCCAAGCCCTTTAAAACTTTGCCATAAACCACAACACCCTGATCAGCAGGGGGAGTCAAAAGACATGCTGAGGAGCACAGTGGAAAGGGCTGTTGCTGAGAAAAGCCAGTCCAGGAGTCCGTATGTAATGTGCCCTGAAGAGCTGGTTAGACAAAGACACTTAACCAAAGGAATGGTGATAGCCAACGGCAAGCCAGTCCTGGTTGCCATTGGATCTGAGCCCATCAGGTCTTACACTTCAGAAACCCTGGTGGGGTGGAGCTCAGATGCACAGGCTCAAGGAAGTATGCTTGAAAAGGACCCTGCCCAGCTGCAGCCCCCCAGCTCCTCATACTTGCCCTCTCATTTCATGAAAGGAGCCATCATCCAGCTGGCTACAGGAGAGCTGAAGCGGGTAGAGGACCTGCAGACTCAAGACTTTGTTCGCAGTGCAGAGGTGAGTGGGGGCCTGAAGATCAACTCCAGCACTGTGGTGGATATTCAGGAAAGCCAGTGGCCTGGGCTTGTCACACTGTATTTTGTGGTTGGGGAGCAGCAAAGTAAAGTGAGCATTGATGTGTCCCCAGAGCATCCCTTCTTTGTGTATGGCCAGGGCTGGTCCTCCTGTAGCCCAGGGCGGACTGCTCAGCATTTTGCTTTGCCCTGTCACAGGCTGCAGGTGGGCGATGTCTGCATATCAATCAGTTTACAGAGCATGAATGGCATCTCTGCTTCTCAGGCTAACTATGCTCCCACAGATCGGTTGCTATCTACTAGGGAGACAGCTGAAAGAACAGCTCAGGGGTCCAGAGAGCCATCTGACAGAGCTGCTGAAAGGAAGAGCCACACAGATAGGGACAGCGCAACCCAGAACTCTCATGAGGAACCCTTTCAGCCTGAGACTGGCAGTCAGCACAGCTGGACAGCCCCAGGTTTCCAGAGATACAGCATGCAGGCAGAGGAGCCTTGGCCACCTCTGCTCTGTCCCTCTTTCATTCCCCAGGAGGTCAAGCTGTCTATTGAAGGGCATTCTAATACAGGGAAGTGATCCCTTGGAGGCTGTGAGCTAGGGCATCCCTTGTAGGTGAGCCTCACCGTTAGGTGGAGAAGTTTCACAGACTTTGTAGCAGGTTCACCAGCAAAGCTGCTTTCTGCCCCATGGGACTGGGTTTATTCCAGTTCAGTGGCTGACCAGTTTCTCTTGGGGAATCAAGAGGGCTCTAGTGCCTCAGGGAGCAACAACAAGTTAGCTGGGGTAGAGACCAGGGACGTGCTCATGAGCTTGCAATGAGAGCATTACAGAGGCTGAAGGCTGGGGCTTTCTCACACCTCCCTGAGTAACTGATTTCCTGCAGAGCAGGGTCTAAGTATTCAGGGTAGGTGTGGAGACAAGGAGGGCAGACATGGCTTAAGGTAGCAGATAAAATTGCTTAAGATTTTATTCCTCCTTTCTCATGATTGGGAGAAATGAATCCCTACTGGAGTTTAGGGGGCTCAACTGTGAGTATCCCTTTTTTTTCACACATGCACTTTAAAAGGACCGTTCACCAATGGAGCTCTTGAGGCCAGGACAGAGATGCTTCTCTGGTGGTTCTGTTTAATATCTCTTCCACTGAATCCAGCTGCTCTTTCTTGCAAAGAATGTACGGATTTGAATGAATCACAGAAATTCAAGAAGAAGGACCAGAAGGATGGGTTTGGGTGTGGGTGTAGGTGTAGTTGAATTTGAGCACTTGGAATGGAATGCGAGTTGGGACGGGAGATGTCAGTTTCCTGCTATAAAATACGTTTAATCATTTGTCACCAAATCAAATATTTCTTCCCATGTTAATAACTTAAAAAAATAAGTCTCTTGGGTTTACAGCTTTTGTAGAGGCTTAGCCTGTGGATGGATGGCACTGGGAGGGGGATTGTTTGGATTTTAGTGTTTTGGTTGGGTTTTTTTTAAAGCTGGAGTAAAATATATTCATCATTCTCTAGGGAAGGATGGAAACATCATTTTTCTGTGAGAAGGCCAAGACTATTTTGTAATTAAATCAGAACACTTTCCAGATGGCTAATTCTTCCCTGCAGGCAGTTTCCTGAATAAGCTCTAGACAAGAGAGGAGTGTTAGTGCATGTGCAGGCAAGGTACAAAGTTTCTGCTAAGTACACTTCTCTGATTAATGTAGTGAATCTAAAAATTCCACAGCACCATGGGGCATTTTGGGGTGGTTTTGTGTTAGTTTTTCTGATTCTTCACTTTGGAGTTCCTCTGTGGAATGTGGTAAAATCAAGAGTAGTCTTTTTCATGGTGAGATTTAATACAAATGTATATTAATACCTCGTTATGGTAATAACACTATTCAAGTGAAGGCTCCTGTAGTTACACTAATTTACCCTTTCTGATGGTGTATTATGACACCAGCTCTAACTACTTACCTGGAATAGAAATTAGTGACGATAAGAGTCTGTGAATGATAAGAGTTGGTGGACTGTGGAC